TGCAGAATAGCAGCATCAATATCCCTTGGATTTTTCAAACCCTGCCAAACATCAGGGACTCTGCGTGGCACTCAGTGCTGTTATACTTCCTGCAGTGGTTCACGTACATATTCAAGTTCCAATATGCTCTAAGAAAACCAAGAAACCCATAAACATAGCTCTTCTAGAACAGGACGAGGCAGAGGACGATCTGACTCTCACCAGGCGACCACTGGTCCAAGCCTGAGAAGGAAATGAACAAGGGATGAGGACTGGGTAGTAGTGGCAGCTGACCCTGGAGTGGAGGGTCAGGGTCCCTGCTTCCCACTATCAGGCATAATTGGGAAGGAGCTTTGTATACACGGTCTCTGTGGCTGCCGAGTGCCTCTTCATGCAGTGCTGTTTTTATATCAAATTAAGCTTTATTCAATTTAGCAGCCCTTCCTGACCACCACTGAGCAATGTCTTTTCATTCACAGCTTTTATCATCAGAGGCCCATGTGATAAGATTTATGTCTGTCCCCACTCTTCAGATGGGAAGACAGAGGCTTAGGGTGATGAACAGCCTGCCTGAGGTCCAAACTGGTAAATGGCTGAGCTGGCAAGCAACTGTGTGACTCCTGCCTGTCAGTCTAGACAGGTGAGACACATTGTCTTAAAATTTTAAAGACAGACCAATGTGCCAAGGAGCTTGGGGGGGAGCGGGGGGAATGACAGACAGGGGCCCTAGGTAACTGCTTAGCAAAATGCCTGTCTGAGTCATGTGTCTGTTTTGTCTCTGACAGGAGGCAGACCTGCCATTGGCTGAGCCCAGAACACTATTTGCAAAGTACCTTGAAGGGAGACAAATCTTCAGATGGTGAGTCACAAATGAAATAACTCTGTCTCTCAAAGGGCCTGGCAGGTGCCCTTCCAGGCCTGCCTGCCACCTGGCTCCTGCCGTCTGGCTTCATCATCAAGTGCTCTGATTGCTTCTCAGACCCATATTCAGATTTCTCTCCTCTATGGACAGCCTGCCTGGCTCTGCCACAAAAATCTTCAGCATCTCCCTTCCCCTCTGACTTCTATTTCTCAAAAGGACAAGTGTATGGGGTAGGGGGAGCTCTACAGTGTACAAAGCCCTCCTTGTGTTAAGTGGTGGAACAATACTCTGGAGCCATTTTAGTACTGCATGCTGGTAGTGCAAGGGAGGCAAGAGGCTGGGGCTGCAACAGGTGCAGGGCCCCAACTATTCTTCATGTGGCATCGTGGGGGCTCAGGTAAGAGCATGGGCCCTTCAGATGCACTTGGCTTTGCTGCTGACCAACTGGGGGCCCATCAGTCCCCATCCCTAAAAGAAGGAAACCAACCATGCAGAGGGTGATTGAGAAGCTGAAATGAGACAGTGCATACAGAAGTGCATAGCTGACTCTAGCAATGTGCCCACTTTCCTGATGGGGCGCTCTGTGAGCTAACCAACACTCCCAAGATAGGTTCATCCCTTCAGGGATATGATGGTACCTGGGGGCCTCCATCTACTTCTCCATTTCTAATCCTTGGTCCCCCTGACCTCTCTGTGCAGGCTCCATTTGTCAGTCTTTCAATGTGTGCCACACCAGCCTTTATCACCTCAAAATGGGCCAGAAAGGAAAGGGGCACTAAGGGCTCTCTCTGGGGAGCTTATTGAAATGTGAGCTGTAGAATTCTGAGTTAGTGAAGGAAAGGCTTTGTTCCTAGGAAGTCAGGATTACCTCACATTCTCTCAGAATTGTGATCACAACTACAGGATGACCATGGAATCTTTCTGTGGCTGAAGCCCCACAGTGTGACATGATCACACCCCACCCCCAACCCCACCCCTGGACTGGGGTCCTGGCTGTTGAGAACAGCTGCTTCTTTAGAGAATGCCAAGCAACCAGGCCTCTTGTCACCAGCACAAAGCAGGGCAGTACTCTGCAGGGATCAGCAGTCCCCCACTCTTCCTACAGTCCATGCTCCTGCTTCAGGGTGAGTCTGCCATCCACCTTTCTCATTCCAGCTTCTGCAGTGACCTGACAACCCCCCCCCCCCCCCCCCCGAACGGGTACGGACTTCATCTGCC